TGAGCAAACAGACACGTAGTTTGTGTCTGTTATGTTTTCTATTCAAGAATATTTCAACAACCAACTTCTGTTTTGTTTTAGATGTGTTTTACAAACCTCGTTTACCGACGCCAGACAAAGTGTATGGAAATCGCTGCAAAGCAATGAGGTTGTTTTTTGGCTTTCCAAAACATTAAAACGAGGCCTCTGTGGTGTAGAATATTTAAACTCTCGGTATTATCCGCACACATTGAGCTAGCTACTTGCGCATCAAGAAAAACGACTCTACAACGCGCATAAAAAAAAATCATAAAGCGGTTCAGTACAACTTCGTGAAACGATTAGAGCCCAGTTCAACAGTTGTAAATGGCTTCACGCCGCGCGATAACGTTTGCATGTTTCTTCGCGTTGTGATTGATTGTTTTCCTCAAAATTCTCTCAAGATTTGTGTAACAAAATATCAATAATAAGAAAAGCTGAAAAAAACGCCCGTTCCTGCTTACATAAAATGGAAAGAATAAAACGCAAAGGACATGCACAGGACAACCACTTTCTTTCGTGAAAGAAAGTGGTTGTCCTGTGCTTCTCCTCTGTGTTTTATTTTTTCAATTTTAGGTATTCATGTTCAAACCGCTCGCCTTCACCAGTCCTGCTTACGTCGAGAAGTTTCGGAGTTGCTACCAGGTGGATCCTTTTCGCATCCCAAAACAAGATTGAATCGATGTTCTTTTTTTTCCCCCTTTTTAAATGTATTTTTTCACAGATAGCGCAGGGCTATCTGGCTACGTTAGCGCTGAAGCAACATTAGATACAGGGACATAGGTACAGTCTCCGGCGATATGAAAGACCCACTGGGAAAATGGACAATTGGGCGAGTTGGTCTTTGTCCTTGTCCCAGTCGCGCTGTAAGTAATTATGAACCCACTGGGAGCCCGTGGCCGAGGTGGTGGCTGGCGGGAACGCTGCGAGCGCTCCGGGCAGTTCCGTGCTGCTTCGAGGGGAGGACGCTCACTCGGGGCTCAGCTAAAGCGCGCCCTTATCAGTTTGTGCTCAGCCCCGAGTGAGCGTCCTCCCCTCGAAGCAGAATGAAATTGCCCGGAGCGCTCGTAGCGCCCCCGCCAGCCACTGCCTCGGCCATGCGCTTCCAGTGGGTCTTTCATATCGCCGGAGACTGGACTTCGCATGAAGCGCACCAACAGGAGCAACCTAAATGCGGTATACGAGACAAGGCCGGACATGCCGGGTTGAATCGCGGTTCTAACATGAAAGCTAGATCGGCGCTGTATGTGGGAACAAAAACATCAGCGCTTGATTAGCGCGTGTAGTCGCCGCAGTGAGGTAAAGCCCCTCATCTTGGGAAAAGTGGCGCCATTCATTGTTTTGGAAATGCTCGAGACACGTGCAGCGCGTTACTTCTGGAAAGAGCATAACGTCTGAAATATTGATCAGTGCTGCACTGTGCAGCTACAGTGTACTAGAATACTTGGGTAGTGTTGGGACCGAAGGGGCTCGCCTGAAGCGCGTGGTATTGTTCGCGACAGGTGTCGCGTCCGGCGCCTTATCCGGAAGGTGTGCGCATGCGCGGCTCCACGCGCGGAAATATGAATCTTTGGTGCCGCTTTGGTGGAGTGCACGTAGGATTTCTGATACAGCTACGACTTGCCAGCGGTCGTACCGCGGCATCAATTACGCTGCGGCACGATCGTTAGCAACATGATGCTTCAATGTATTGGACGGTACAAGCTACATTACCCTTCCTTTACATAAAAACAATTGCGACTTTAAAGAAGCGGTTTCGGTTTGTCGGATGGTGAGCATTTTAAATGAAATGCCCATTTCCTGGTCGCAAATGCCGAACATTAGATATGTCGAAGGGATATCTAAAACTCGGAAGCGTTTTCTTTTCCTATCTTATTTTATAACGGAACGAAACAGCACATACTAAAGTTCGAGATTGTTTTAGTGTGTTTTTAATACCCCAGGTTAACTTCTCTGTCTTCTTTTCTGCCTGTCTTCTTTTTCTTGACCTTAATCAGCTCGCTTCACTTGTCACTCATTCTTGTGTCCATTTATGCGACGAACCACCAAAGCGACGGTCGCAAAGGGGTGAGAATCTTCTATTTCTTCGTGGCTGCCACGACCATCCGAGAATCACCCGACGTTCACTTGTAAGAAATGGCTTATAAGCCGTGACAATTTTTATCACGCGTTTTAACATTTAACTTAAGTCCAAAAACTGAGACAATGTGGGCTGGACAAGTAATGCTTTATAACATGCAAAGAGAACAGGAAACTATTTCACATCATTTTGAGCAGAAAACATGAGCACACGTAGATCAGGCAAGGAAAAAGTTGTAATAGTTTACAGCACGGCATTGAAAAAATTGCTACAATGTGCAGCGCATACATGGTTACAATATGCAGCACATTATTATCTTGAGGGTAAACCATCTGAAACCTACACGCTCACAACAATACATTTAACCGACAGCTGCTTTCTGACAACCAGGTAAGTCTCGCCTGAGCTGGGTATTCGAAGCAAAACACCCATGGTTCCATAGGGGGCGTATCTGGTTCACGCAGACATTCAGGGTGTTTTTGTTTTATCCTTTACAGAACTTTACATATTTTACAAAAAAAGAATGTGGCAGATATGTGGATGCCGTCTTTCGTTATATCTGTAGGGTTCGGTGGACAATGAATGGGTGAATAATAACCGTTGCAATGTTTAATAATGAACCAAGATTTGTTAGTTAACTTGTTTATTAACGGCTTAATATGCCATAATGCAATTGCAGTTTTAAAAGGAGTCATTATTAAAGGCAAATACAATTTCGACAGTTCGCGAAAAGGCAACGAGGTTCGCAAAATTAATCGTAAAAGTTTGCCTTTCTTCGCTTGATTCAGAAACCGCGTTATGAAAATAATATGTAGAATAGTAACTTAGTCGTCTTGATCTGTGGCGCCGGCGAGTCCACCGAAGAAACGCTGTTGAGTTAGTGACGAGGGGACAGAAACAACCTGCGTCATTCTTCTACGCATCAATATCAGCACAACCTCATTCGCGCTTTCAGCGCGCAGGTTTTTTAATTAAGTGAAGAAAGGCAAAATTTTAGCGATGAATATCTCAGGACAGAACGAGCGGGTTGGTAGAAATAATTAAGCTTGAGAAAGAAAACGAGAAAGGACGGACAAACGCAACAGAAAAGAGCGCCTTGTTACTTTCGCTCAAAGCTCGTTGTTTGTTCGCGAACTTTTTAAATTAAGTTGGCCTTTAATGATGGCTCCCTTTAAAGCTGCAATTGCAACATGGCCCATTAAACATTTCATTAACCCTTTGCCTACCGCAAAAATTAAAAAAAAAAAAATTTGAAAATACCGTTTTTTTTACGTGCCCTATACTCTGTTTCACCTCGTGTTGTACCGCAGGAAAGGCTACAAGCGCGAGCTCCTTGCTCTAGGGCACATCTCGGCAGCACGAGCTCCCGTGCACCAAGGGCAGCTGCCAACGCTATGAGCTCGCGCTCCTAGCTTTCGCTACATGCACCGCTCAAAGAGAAAAAAAAAAAAAAAAAAAAGGCGGGCTGCGCGAGCCGGATAACTCGACTACAGCGTCGCCACGAACTGTCAATACACGTGGCCTCACGAACTCCCGTTGCCGAGTCGCTCCGGTCCCAACACTACCCAAGTATTCTAGTACACTGTAGTGCAGCCATGATCTTCCCAAGTGCGGCACGTGCCTCGTGGATCCACGCACCTTGCGCTACTTTTGAAACGTGAAGGGGCTTTAGAGTGAGGATCGCTGAAGCGCCCCCTTACGTGCTTCTCGCCGGGGATACATTCGTGTTATCTTAGTGCGGACAAAGCCTGTTGGAACTTTCGCGAGGATGGCATCGGATTCCCTCTGCGGAGAGGATGCACGCGAGGAGCGAGCTGAACCTCGCATCACGGCTTGCCTCGGCGGAGTCGATTTACGATCGGGCGCGGGGGTCGAGATGTAAACTTCGTACCCGCAGCGGCTGGATGCAGCCGCGAAGATCAACAGCTGGGAAAGTGGAGACGGACAGAACGAAAGCTGGAACGCTACGGATCGGAGAACGAGAAAGTGGCTCGTCTGTTTGGAACGTGTGTGTAGTGTGTGTAGTTTAAAATAAAGTGTTGAGATTTGTTGAGACTGATCGATATCTCGGAACGCCAAGAAGCAACAATTCCCTCAACAAAATAATTGGTGCCGAAACCCGGGACAGAGACTACTGCACTGCAAATGAAGCCGACGAGCAACGTGTGATCGAATCGCCAGCAGACAGAAAAGAGAAAGTAACGACTGAACGAGCGAAATCTGGTAATCAACGGCAACATCTACTATTGACCGACACAAGCAAGCAGCACTGCAAGCCAGGACTGAACGGCAATGGACGTCCTCAAGAAAAAAACGAAAAACGCATCGAACGCAAGTAACGAGGCTCCTCAGCGAGGCAAAGGATTTATTACAATCAGCTACGGCGACCGTCGATGATCTCGATATATTGATTGAACGTCTAAGCCTCGCTCGGGACCAACTCAACCACGTAGATGCCGCGATCGAGTCGTTGATTTCCGAAAAAGAAGCAGAAGCAGAATTCACGCAAGTGATAGATTATTCTGACAAGATCGTCACGTGCCTAGCAAAGCTCAAAAGGAAAGTGAAAAGTCCGGAAAACAGCCAACGAACAAGCGGGAAACCGAACGAAGAGCGGGAAGCAAGAAAGGTGACATCAAAAATCAAGCTTCCCAAATTAGAGCTCATCAAGTTTAACGGACACCGAAGAAATTGGCAGCCCTTCTGGAAGCAATTTCAGACCGCCATCCATGGAAATCCGGAACTATCGTCCTCAGAAAAATTCAACTACTTGAGGTCAGCCCTGACTGGTGATGGAGCAGCCGCCATCGCAGGACTGCACCCAACCGCTGAATGCTACGCCCACGCCATCGAGCTCCTGTAGCAGCGTTTCGGGAACCAGGCGGAGCTGATACAGGACCACATGACAGGGCTCATGGACATCAATCAGGTGCCGTCATCGCGCAGCGTCAGAGCTCTGCGGCGGGTCTACGACAGCGTCCAGGCTCACATCCGGGGCCTTCGGGCGTTGGGTGTGACGGATCAGTCATACTGTGCCATGCTCTACCCGGTTCTGCTTCGTGCGCTTCCGGACGACATGAGGCTCGAGTTCAACGGCAAGATGTCTTCGGGGAACGCCGAAAACGCCACCGCCGGGGGAACATCAGCAACCGACATCGGCTCCGACTCAGCAACGGAACAAGGACCCGTTAAGGAGGTGCGCGCGCTGCAGAACTTTCTCAAGATCGAGGTGGAGAGCCGGGAGAAAACATCCAAGGAACAACCCGAAGACGCCGGCGGTAAGCCTGCACATTGTTTCCCCATGCATGAACATCCGAAGAGGCGCCTAAACAACGCCAAGACTCGGAACGCCACCGCTACGGCCTTGCATGGCAGGATGGACAGCATGGAATGCTTTCTTTGCAAATCAAAGGCGCACAGCACACCAGACTGTAACGCGAAGATCGAACTCAAGGAAAAGAAGCGCAGGCTGCAAGCCGATCGCAGGTGCTTCCGGTGCACGAAGCCGAACCACACGGCAAGAATGTGTCGCGGCAAGCTCCGTTGTGACAGGTGTGGAGGAAGGCATGTATCCACTCTGTGTGATCCAGATTACTTGCCGGGACGAGCCTCCAGCGGATCGGATGAAACGCGGAAGAAAGACAAGGCGCCTCTCAGCCTGCATGTGAGCGAGAAGGGCAACAAACCGGCTGTCCTTCTGCAAACCGTTACCGCGTGGGTGGAAAGCAAGAACAGAAGAAAGTTGGCCCGCATTCTCTTCGACAGCGGTAGTCAGCGCTCCTTCATTACAGAGGAGCTGTCGATGGGCCTTGGTTGCAAGCTTCTCGGAACGGAGGTTCTTACCGTCGGAGTGTTCGGTGGCAAGACTAGCGAACAAACGTACCGTAGAGTTCAAGTAGTTTTGAGTAATCGTCTAACCGGCCAGACATACGAGATAGACGCCCTCGAGACGCGTTCTATCTGCGAACAAGAACTTCCAGGCCCGGATGAAGACATCCTGGTGAACATGGAGGAGCTCGGACTAACGGTTGTTGACGACCTGAACGGACTCGAGTGCAACGGAGTAGGAATCCTCTTAGGATCGGAGCACTACTGGGGATGCGTTACGGGAAGAGTCCGTCGACTGAGCGAGAACCTGACGACACTGGAGACCGCCTTTGGTTGGTCAGTACATGGACGTTCCCAGGCGACTGCAGCTGTTGTCAACTGTTCCCAAGTGATCGTCCTCAGAGCTGCCGTGAGCGACCAGGAGAACACGGCTGTCCTGAGAGGATTTTGGGAGCTTGAGAGTATGGGAGTTGTGGACGCAGAGGTCCAGGATCACTCCGATAGCGACATCATGCAGCGCTTTGAGAGAAGCATCACCAAATCTGATCGAAGATACAAAGTGAGCCTCCCTTGGAAACCTGATGTGAAGCTTGATTGCAACCGAGAGATGGCTTGGAAGAGACTCGAAAGCCAACAAAAGAGGCTAAGCAAGAATCCTGAGCTCATGCAGAGATATGATCAGGCAGTCCGGCTTTACGTCGAGAACGGAATGGCTGAGAGGGTCGAGAGAGACGATAACTCGAATGAACGGATGTACTACGTGCCCCACCAGGCTGTTCTGCGAGAAGGCAGCAGTACGACGAAGATGAGAATCGTTTTCGACGCGTCTTCGCACGGACCGAACTGCAAGTCACTAAACGACAACCTGGAGAGCGGTCCGAACCTGAACCCAGACCTTGTTAGCCTGCTTCTCAACTTCAGGCAACACCCGGTGGCACTGGTTGCGGACGTCGAAAAGGCCTTCCTTCAAATTGAAGTAAACCCGGAGGATCGCAATGCTCTGCGCTTCCTCTGGTACAAAGAAATTCCTCAACCGAACCAAACAACTCCGGAGGTGGAAGTCTGGCGTATGACGAGGGTCGTTTTCGGAGCCACATCCAGCCCCTTTCTGTTGGCCGCGACCCTACGACATCATTTCAGAGAAATCGAGAGCGTATTCTCCAAGACAGCAGAGCGACTGGGTAGATCGGTCTACGTTGACGACCTCTTGACGGGCGCGGAAAGTGAAGAGGACGCCCGGACATTCTGCAATGAGGCGATCGAGATATTTGGAGCAGCGGGGATGAAGCTCCTTAAGTGGGGCTCCAATAGCGCAGCCCTGTCGAAAATGCTTGAAGACAAGGGTCCCTATGAGAGACCATTGGGACAACAGACGGGTGTGTTGAAGGTACTCGGTCTGACGTGGAAGCCGAATGAAGACAGCCTTTCCTTTTCGGCAGAACACGTGATTGATTTTGCCCGCCAACGAAGAAACACCAAGCGTTTCGTGCTCCAGACGACAGCACGACTGTATGACCCCCTTGGTTTCCTCTCCCCCTTCGTGGTGCGAGCCAAGATCTTGTTTCAGGAAATCTGGAAGCTGAATCTACGCTGGGACGATACACTGCCGGAAGAACTGATGAGTGGCTGGAACAACTGGTGCGACGAGCTCACCACACTTCAGCAAATTAACGTGCCCAGATTCTACGACAGCGAGCTGACGGGCAACGTTGTACATCGAACGTTGCACGTATTCTCTGATGCCAGCACCTCCGCATACGGTTCGATGACCTTCATCTGCTCAACGGATGACACCGGAGAAATGACCGCGACACTCTTACTGGCTAAGTGCCGCGTGTCGCCCCTGAAGGAAATCTGCCTTGCTAGATTAGAGCTCATGGCATGCTTGATCGGATCGAGGCTGTTTAAGTACGTAAGGACACACCTCGAAATCAAAGTGGATGAAGTCCACTTCTGGACGGATTCTATGATCGCTCTGCATTGGATTAGGGGAGAGCCATTCAAGTGGAAGACGTTCGTGAAAAATAGAGTACAAGAAATTCAAGCAAACAACGAGAAGGCAATGTGGCACCACTGCCCGGGGAAAGAAAATCCTGCCGAGCTGATGACACGAGGGCTGTCCGCGGATCGACTGCTGTCTGCACCGCTCTGGTGGAACGGACCAACTTGGTTGCTACTGCCCGCGACAGAGTGGCCTGGGGAAAGTGACGAGGAGCTTTCCCACGACGGGCTCGAGGAGAGGACTCCAAGAGCAGAGCTCTTCGAGGTAACTGCAACTGTACCGGAAGAGTTGCTGGACATCTCAAGGTTCAGCTCGGCCTTGAAACTCCACAGAACAACGGCCTGGATTTTACGGTTCATCTATAACCTCAGATCGTCAGAAAAAAGGATGGGACCACTGACCGCCGAGGAGATCCACGTAGCGCAAACACACTGGATAACGAGAGCACAAAGATCAGCGTTTGCCTCCGATATTGAATGTGCAGCAAAGAGAATGTCGCCCCCACCTGGGTCGCTCTTGCGTAAGTTTCGCACTTTCATCGATGAAGAGGGATTGCTGAGGATCAGCGGTCGACTCCAGTCATCGAACCTGACGCAAGAAGAACGCCACCCCATTGTACTGCCTAAGGAGCATCGATACTCAACGTTGCTGACTATCGACGCCCATCGCCAGGTACTGCACCCGGGAGCCAGGGACACTCTCGTGCAGCTGCGCGAGAAGTACTGGATCCTCCGCGGAAGACAGCTGGTAAAGAAAGTAGTGCGTGCGTGTGTGACCTGCCAGCGATTCAACGCGACTCCTGCAAGTGCTCCAACGGGACCCTTGCCGGCGGATCGTACAACGCGAGCGGACCCGTTTGAAGTAGTGGGCACAGACTTTGCGGGACCCCTGTATGTTAAGGCGAACGACCTCACCAGCAAATGTTACGTCTTGTTGTTTACATGTGCGGTTACTCGAGCGGTACATTTAGAGTTAGTGACAGACATGTCGACAAAGAGCTTTCTGTAAGCCTTTCGCAGATTTGTGTCGCGGAGAGGGGTATGCCGCGTCATTTATTCGGATAACGCTTTGACATTTAAACGGGCCTCAAAAGAACTAAGGGAACTGTGGAAGACACTCCGACACCCTGATGTGATTCAGCATTTTGCCAATGCTGGCATAGAGTGGCGATTTATTGTCGAACGAGCGCCATGGTGGGGAGGTTTTTAGGGATGCCGCGAACTTTTTCCGAATCGAAGTTTCGATGATCGAATCAAGCGGTGCGAAAGGTTCGAAAGATTTCGATTTTTCGAATTGTCTACATCGTAAAATTCAACGGAGGCCAAATTTTCGAACTTGATAAGCTAAGAAGTTCAACGCTTTTCGAACCGTCGAACTTATTACGCTAAAAAATTCGATCTTTTTTGAACTTTCGAACTTATTGCGCTGCAAGGTTCAATGCTTGTCGAACTTTCGAACTTGACTGACCAAAAAATTCGATGAATTTCGAACTTTCGAACTTGACTGACCAAAAACTTCGATGAATTTCGAACTTTCGAACTTATTTATCTAGAGAATTCGAAAAGTTTCGAACTTTCGAATTCTGAAAAGTTAGAAGTTCGACGAACTTCGAACTTTTAGGGTAAAAGTTCGACGTTCGTCGAACTTCGAAAGACCGGCGGACGGTTTCATTTGATTTCAAGTAGTGGGGTACATTCGTAATTTTTTTTCTCGAACTTTTACACGCGGTGCTGCGTACCTTACGAAGGACAATGTCGTTTATTTCAATGTTCTGGCATGCTTAGGTTTAAAGAAATAAATCCCCGAAGGGGCGAGGAAGGACGACGGGTTTTTGACGATTATCGTTTGTGCCAGATTTGAAGCCGCTGCAGCCGGAGCTATTTATGGTAGATATTTTATACTTTTTTTTAAGAATGATCTATGTATAGCCTATGTAAGTGCCGTCTTAAGATGTGATTATTGTTATTCAGCGTGAGTTTTGAAGAAATGTCCAAACGTGTATCTGCATGCAATTATGACCTAAACTTGATATTTATTTTCGTCTAAGTTATTTGAGGTATCGCATTTAAATTAACACCACAGACAGTACATAACATTGCCATCTGCAGAATACAAAATAATATATTTATTGTTTTTTCACGTTAAGGAATAAATTAACTCATGGGAGAAGATTTCTAATAGTGTTCAAGTTCAGCACGTCATTAAAAGAAAACTTTTTTTTTTTTTCGCTTCACGTTCCTGGGACGTGTTTCTTTTAGCCTGTACACATTTTGGTAAAAGAAACTTGTTTCGAAGTTCTGAACCTCTGAATATGCAAGAATAGAACACCTCCGACGAATTCTTGATAGTTTTTTTTTTCTCCTGCTTTTTATTCCCGCATTTATTTAGTTATATTTTTTTTTTGTTACTATCGGCACAGGTGTTTAGGTCGAAAAGACAGCTTTGAACTTCCGAACCACTAAGCATGTGACGAGCAGTGCCTTCTGACAACGAGTTTCTAACAATGACCATCTACGCAACCTTTTATGCAGTGAAGAGCGACAGTAGCTATACATATGCATAAATAATTTCAGATTAAAATAAGCTGGACCACGCCCTCTTTCCCCGTATTGTTTTCTTTAACAGTCCGAAATACCTGCAAGGGGGAGAAGGAGGCTGAGCCCTCCCCCCTCCCTTCCCCCCCTCCGCTACCCTCTTTCCCCCCGTTTTTCCTCTTCCGACGCCACTTGTATGGTAGAACGCTCCTCGACCTCGAGTTGTGTCGGCTTTTGTGCTTTTTGCGAGGCAATTTTACCGTCCCAGAAAATAAACCTCCAGGACAATTATTAACTTCACCGGATCGGATTACTACCAGCGTGCAAGGGGTGGCGAGCTAGTTTGCCAGGTCGCTCCAAGGTTTTTCTGAGCCTCAACCTCCTGCTCGCCCCTGGCCGTTTCGAACTGGATGAGTCTCGTAAAACTGTGTGTTCGTGCAATCACTACTGCGTAATGCAAATTAGGGACCCCCCCCCCCCGCCCCCCCCTCCCCCCCCCCCCCCCCCGGGGCTGGCGGTCACAATTCTGCACTGGCAAATATTCTAGCACGTCCGGGACACTCGTCGTCTTATTTAACTGCCTGACCAAATTCGCAGAATCTAGATATCACACCCTAACTTTTCTAAACTTGATTTTGTGAAAACAAGTGAGTCGTGAAAACGTTATTTGAAACTGAAACCGTGGAAAAACTTGAAAATCGGACTTCGAACTTTGAAAACTTGGATTAGAAAAAAATTCAAAATCTTCAAAGTTTTCTTTTTTTTTTTTTTAATTTAGTGTTAAAAGAGAATCGAAACCTTCGACCTTTTCGAACTTTATGCAAAAAGAAATTCGAAATCTTCGAATTGTTCGAACTTCATATCTATAAAAATTCGAAGCGTTCGAAGTTTTCGATTTTTTTTACAAAGAATTCCGAAATCTTCGAATTTATCGAACCTGAAGTAAAAAAATATTCGAAATATTCGAATTCGAAATTTTAGAAACCGTGAAAGCTTCGAAATTTTCGAATTCGAAACTCCGCTGTGGTCAAAAGTTGCGAATTTTTCGAAATCGAACCTCGGTCGGTACGAAAATATCGAAATTTTTCGAAATCGAACCTAAATTCGCTTCGCAAATTGACTCCGTAAGTGTGACGTCATGGGTCCAAACAAACCGTTGCTAGGGTTGTTGTTATGGAGGGATACATGTGGCTAGGTTTCGCTACGAAAACCCGACCGTTCAAAAATCGGGAGTAGGATTTAAACTTCTAAAAATAACAGATACATAAAGCTTAAATGTCATATATGTTTCGAGAGGAGTGTGCCGGTAATCGCTTGTTTCTGAAATATTTACGACTGCAACTTCCGGTCCTCAAGATGCCTGCAGCAGACGACGAATGCAAGAAGAATGCCGTCTGCCACACGCCCGCTGGCCGAGCCGGCGCCGGCGTCTGAATCGGGTGAATAAAGACGATATACTGATATTGCATTTGTTTGACATACAATGAGTTTCAGACACTTATAAGAATTCATAGTGGGGTGCGATGCCATATATGGTTTTTCGAAAGTCCGGGCGTCAATCGAGATGATCGTCTGCTTAAAGATTGCAATGCAGCCGTGAGAAAAGCACTTCAGGCGATCGATAGAGATCCCAAAATTTGTTTGCGGACTCGCGCTATGGGAGGGTGCTTCGTACCTGGTTGTAACCATCGCGTGGAGAAAGATTCTTGCAGTTTCTTCAGATTTCCGCAAAACCCCAAAACGAGACAGAACTGGATAAAAACTATAATGTGAGTTTATTACAGATTGTACTCTCATCGCGGGTTCGATGGAGATCTTCACCGAAAGAGCACATCCACTAAATTTAATGTATACAGAAAAAAAAAAGCGAAATAGCGATAGACATGCAATCTATTTAATAACCTGATTGCCTCAATAATAATAATGATAACAAACGACTTACCTCGACGGCGTACGATTTGTTTCTCATGCTGGCCTGCACTAATGCGCGAAACACATGTACGACGAAACCTTCCGATCCGACGTCCGACCGCGCAATACGACGGTCGGAGGCGAGGGTTTTCCACGCTCTCCGATGCTACGAAAACCCTCTCCCTCCAAGGTCATTCCGGCAGTCCGCAGGTCGGATCGGACGGTTTCGTCGTCGTCGTAACTGATCTGCATGACGTGGTTTGATTTTACGGAATTGTCGCCCCTCTGAACCAAGCTGGGTTCTTCACAGAAAAAAAAACAAAAAACACCCACATTGCGGAGGCCTCTACGGCCATGGCGATGCACTTGCTTGTGTTGCTTGTTTACTGACGCAATTCAATGAAGACGCCGCTGCAACAACACAGGCCAGCAAATCTATCGTGTCGTCTGCTATCAAAGCAAAGCGGAGTGGAATAGTTCAGAAATGGATTTCATCGTTGCAATACGACGCTGAGATGACAAGAACATCTTCATAATTAGATATCAAGAAGTTAGGTTGCTTACAAAAAATTATTTACTTACGTGTAAGTGAAAATCTAGCCTCGTGTGGAGTCTCCATGCATTAGTCCATAGCAACGTCCCTAGCAACGGTTTGTTTGGACCCAGACGCCATGTTGTGACGTCATCACTTACAGGGTCAATATCGAAACCTTTCGAAATCGAACCTAGGGTGGTTCGCGACATCCCTAGAGGTTTTTATGAGAGGCTCGTGCGCTCAGTAAAGATGTCATTGAGGAAGGTGATCGGAAAGAAATGCCTGGGCGCAGATGAATTGGCCACGGTTCTCACCGAAATTGAAGCCGTGGTGAATTCGAGACCATTGACCTTTGTATACAACGAGGTGGGAGAGGGCGGCCCTCTCACGCCTGCGAGCTTTCTAATCGGTAGACGGCTGACGGCGCTGCCGGCGGTCGGGGGAGAGCCGCTCGCTTCGACACCGGAGACACTTCGCGGTCTGTGGCAAAAGCGAA